AGTTGTATTTTGTATTCATTTATTATGTGAAGGATTATTATCTGGAAAGCTAAGCAGACAGGTGCAGATTTAAAAAAGCAATGCCACTTTTGAACCTCTGAACCGCTCCTATGTTATACATATTTAAATAATTCGGTCATAAAATTACTCAAACATCCGCCTTGAGTTCCCGCACAATACTTATCTTAACAACAATGAGGAGCAACCCTCTGAAGAACTTCTCCCTGACCAGAAGGGGCCAGCCTTACAAGGAGTGGCACAGTCTGAAGGGAGGGGCTGAGTTCATGTTCATAGCCAGCGAACAGAATGACGTCCTCAAGGCAAACCCCAAGATAGAACCACGACTGGAAGACTTCATGGGCAAGATTTTTCAGATGTACTTCCTAAGAAAATATTTAACTTAGTTGCGCAGTGGCTGTAATTGCTAGAAAAAAAAACTTCTAAAAAGATTTTATTAGAAACTATGGCCAGTTTGCAAACGCCTGAGAGCGGAAATATGTTTCATTTTATTCAGAGCTATAAAAAATATTGATCGGTTGTGAAAAGCTTTAGAAGGAATTAAATCTGTTTTGACAAATGTAAAAATTAAATACAAAAATAAATGGTTTTTTTCTTCAAAAGTTAGAATTGGGAGGCCAGCCTCTCAGCGAATTTCGTCAGATTTAGTCTGAAAATCGAAAATATTCAGAGGAGCGATTTTTTTGACACTAAAAAGACTTTTCTAAGTTTTTTAGAATCCGAATCACATTGATAGGGCTTTAAAAATTTTTAAGTCGACCAAATTGATTTTCTGAGCTCTCTGAAATCACTCTAAAGACCCCGATTTGACCAAGTTTTCTGCGCCGCAGGCAAATTTTAAAAAATTCTACTAAAAAACGCGTATAGATTGGCGCCAGAGGCGCCTTTATAAAAATTTTAAGGTCAGTCAGCCAACAATGGATATAGGGGGGGGGGATTCTTTGGGTCGGCAGGGGGTTGAATCACTAAGGAAAGAACCCCCCCCCCCATAAATCCGCTACTTGGTTATAATTTTGCTTTTAACCTATCTTCACATTGACACCGAAATGGACAAAGTTATGTAAATAAACTCAGTAAATTATCTGTAAGCAACAGACCTACAGTGCAGACTTCTCCGCGAGTCACGGCTAAGTACGGTAGCAACAATTACATAAAGATGCACATCGAGTGTCTCGATCAGCTTAATTTGCGTCAGGCAGATGAGATGGTATGCTTGTAATACGGATGTACTATTACGCTAGCAATACTATGTACGTCGGACAGAACGCTTGCTAGGAATATAGGGTCTTTTCTACTTTCAATCTTAGAAAGTAAATCAAAATTTTGCTGAGAAATATTTTATTAGAAAATTAGATAGTATGAATTTACTGCAAGTTGCCTTTTGACTCAATATTTATTCTAAAGGTTGGATTTGGAGATAGTATGACTGAGAATGGTTATATTTTTTAGAGAGAAGGGTTGGGGTGGTTGAAGAGAATGTTGTTGGTTGAAGAGAAAAATGAGAGGGAGGTGGTGGTGTTAGAAGAAAAATTGTTGGAATGAAATCCCGTAGTTTTTAGCTTCTATTTATACTCAGATGGGAATTCTCCCACTTTTTCGTATCAAGAGAGAAGTTACTTTTTAACTTCGTATTTTCTCGTGAATGCTATTCGTGCATTCGTATTTCACGAGAAGAATCTTTCGTATGCTCGTATTTTACGAGAGGAATCGTTATTATTCGCATTGAACGAGAATAGTCGTTTCATTTCTCAATGCTTAAAACGTTATACGAATTATTCCAATAGCATTTCCCTTCTTTTTGCGACCGGTGATTTTGTGAATATGCATAGCTTTTTTTATGAATACTAGACATTCTAGTATGAATTTCACAAAGAGAAAAGAGGCGAAGACTATTCCGCATTTTTCCAAATAGTATTGTTTTTTCCCGAATATACGGGTGTATTATATTCGTTTTTCCAAAAGCTTGGAGAGATGAGATAGTCCAAGTATATTGTTTGAGAAGAGCCTAGTGGGCTATATGAGTCCGTGAAAAGAAATTCTTGAGCGTGTAAAAAGACTTGGATACTTTTTGCAGTATTCCTTTCATCTCTGAATTATCGTAAATCAAATTCCAAAATTTCTGCATTTGAGCATAAGTTTAAATTGAAGCACCTTGACTAGAGGCTAAAGAATGCTTAATTTGTTGAACTATCTCTTTTGGTTTAAAGAGATATGGTCCTGTAACCCTTGTGATTTGGGGTGCTTATTCGATCCAGGACTTGTCATCATCAACATCTAGTTGAAAAAAATTTAAATATTTGTCGGAAAATTCAAAAGATCTGTCGACTGAAAAGTTTGTTGCGTAATTGGATCGGAATTGGATGCGTAATAAGATTTGTCATTTTGTGGATTTTTTCATAGGAAATCTGAGTTAGATTTTAACTTTTTGTTGAGGAATTTGGCAGATTTATTTTTCTGAAGAGAGGAGGTTTAGGATGCAAGATGTGGAATTGAGCAACAATAAAAGTAACTGTATATCAGTTAGTTTTTTTAAGGCCGTTTTTGCTTTTTTGCAAATCTAAGCTCTGATTGGCCGTTGTTATTCGGCGTCTTTCGGAGATGACTCGTTTTAAGTCGTATTTCCTTCGGCGTTCATTTTGTAATGATATGGTTTTTCCACTCTTGTTTAATGTCGTGGTTTTTCACTCATTTTTCGATTTGTTGAGATGTAGAAGCGAAAAGACTATATTCGTTTATGTTGTTTTTAAATTTCAACAACTGCATTCCCCTTCCCAATTGGAGGAGGGAAAAAATAAAAAAAACCATCTCTTCATAAAACATCATTTATTTGCTTTTTGGTTAAACTTCATCTATCATCTTATTATTTTAAAAAAAAACCGTGAGCTCGAAGATAATCTGGTTGATTTCTCGTAGAACTTTTTAAACCTACGTGACGAGTTGGACTTCAAATACGAAGCCTTGCTGGAGGATAAGGAAGTTGAAAGGAGGGTGAGGATATACGATGGGCTGGTTGAAAAAGGAGTGAATCTAACACCGATGGAGATGATGCTGTGGATGGACAGGAGCTTCATCTGGAGCTACCCAGTGCTAAATTCGGGAAAATTAATTGAACTGTGCTCAAAGCAGAGCAAATATCTTTCAAAGAAAATCTGGAGCTCATGGATTGGATACGATGTGGTCTCAAAGGAGACGATGGACTTTTTGTCCTTATTCTTTGGGTGGGATGTAATTTTCTATAACTAGACACCCAAATTAAAAAATGAAAAAAAAATAAAAATTTTTATTTAAGTGGGATGACAACATAGAAAGGGTATATATATATATTTGTTTTAGTTTCAAGCAAAATTTCTTCGAAAGACCCGAAACGGAAGAAGACTTCAGAAGAAAAATAGAGCCTGATATTATGCTGGATAAAATTTACCAGGCTTGGTGGCGGCCTTATTCAGCGCTGCAGTTTGCAGTGAGGAGCCTTAGTAGGGCCGCAGAAGACTCGTTTGAAAAATTGGCGGCGGTGAGAGTGATGCAATCCTATACGGAAATCAAGCCTCACATTTAAAAAATTTATTTTCAAATTTATTGTAAAAATGTTTATTTTTGGAGTTTTTTTGATTTTATTACAAACAAAAGATTTATAAAAGAGAAAAACGCCATTAAAAAGAATTTAAAAAAATATTAAGTTGGGCCGAAAAAATAGCTAGTGTTTATGATTTCTTTTTAAATTTACCAATTAAATTAGATGGAATTGAAAAGTTTGTAGGACGATTTGTCCGTTTAGGTCTTTTAGATTCGGAAAGTGATCCAGGTGCGGATCGAGTGTTCTGAGAGCTATGAGGGATATTTTTTCTATCAGTAAAGCTTTCTGATGATTGAGATAAACAAGAGAAATCAAAAGGACGGGGATTATTATATTGTGATGTTGTATTGGGGTGGCGGCGGCCAAAGTCAATTGAAAAACTAGTGTTGGGACTTATACTGCGGCTAGGTAGGCGGCGGTGGCCATAACTACTAGATTGACTAAAAGAAGGATTAGGGGTCTTATCAACAGGATAGGTAGTTGAACTTCGAATAGGTCTTGGATAAGATTTTGGTCAATCGCAGTCGCATCGAACAAAGTTCTTAGATGCATAGATTCTCTGCCTGAATTCAATAATTGTTCATGTACAATGGTTTTATTTTGATCCTCATTTGTAAGTTTATGATCAGTCTTTTGCTGATAACCACTGTTGACTACTGGCCAAAACAGGTATTGTAATTTTTCAACCTGTTTAGTTTTTTTGTAAGAGTTGATTTTCTGATTTGTTATATGATCATAAAAATCAGTTGAATATAAGTTACTAGAGCACTCATGCAATAGTTTGGGCATTTGTTGTTCTTCAGGAAAGTATTCAACAATATGATTGCGGTGGACAATTTTTTTTTGTGATTGAAATCATTTTGAATTCCGTACGTTACTTCCCTGATTTTTTCAATTACGGTATAAGGTCCAGATCGTAAATTCAAAAGCTTTTGAGATTTCAATAGTGGCATAGATCTGTTTTCTAGTAGCATTTTTGTGCCTTCTTTTATAAGTCGTCCTAATTTAAATTGATTTGGGAACATGTGGGCCTTATTAGTGATGCGGCGGCAATGGGTATAGGTGTTAGTATAAACAAATTTAAAATTGTTTTCCCTTTTCAGTATTTCGGCGGATATTTGATTTTTCAGAAATCTATTTATCGTCTCATTGTTTGACTTATGCTCGGTATGAGCATGATTTTCGTGACCAGTGCAAAAATCAGACGAACATCTTTTGTTTTGGTGGCGGTAGAAACCTAGTTTAAGGCTAAGAGGAAACTGAGGTTTTTTGCCAAAGACAATCTCATATGGAGTGTAACCTTTACTTGAATCAATAGCGGTGTTCTGTGCAAAAGTAAATTTATTTGTTAATTCAGACCAGTTTGAGCCTGAAGTACTCAAGAAAATCGAAAGTACTGGGTTAAATGTTTATGCTGGACTTCGACTTTTCCGTTAGTCCAAGGCGAGTATGTAGTTCATGGTCTCAGTGTTATTCCAAACTCAGAGAAACAATGAGCAAAGTCATTACTCATGAATGCACTTCCATTATCATGAATAATTTGTTGTGGAATACCAATTTGTTTTGATGCATTTCTCTAAGAGCTTAATGGTTTCTTTAGGGTCTGCATGAGTGCATGGATATACTTGAAGATATCTAGAGAAGGCATCTATCACAACTAAGCAAAAGTTTTTGCCGTGACTTGATGCTCTGAGTGGACCTTTATGATCAATGTGGATCGTTTTCATTGGAATTGTTTCTAACTGTCCTCATTGTTGTAAGGGAGCTT